TGTTATCTATCAAAACCCAGTTAGATTAACATTCATTGGATTGCACACTTAGTTTGTGTGGATATGTAGCAAATGAACATGTTAAATAGCACTTAATGACTGACTGAATGGAAATGACAATAAATGAAAATGTAAAACGAAAAAGCGATCATGAAAATGTTTCCAATAAATGAATAAAATAATTTTTGACCACTTTGTTGTTCAAATATATCACATATTTGTAACTGAATGATGCATTCATTGAAACAAAACACAGTATAAACTGAGGAGTGAGTCCCGTGAGTTTCATGTGTTTTTCTCCACTCCGCTGGGAAACTTTGCTCTCATGTCAAGAAGCATCATATCAGTGCATGCGCTGCATCGTCCAATCAGTGAGCGATACACAGTAAGGGGGCGTGGAGAGTATCTGAGGATTTCACCGGAGGATGGTCTGGTGGTTCCTCGGTTATCGCTCCTCCATTATCGCCTCCTCGCTCCTCGATCCTCGGTCCTCCGGCAGAAATAAGAGCCATGGGACGCTACTCAAGATGGCGCAGACAAATCAACTTCCGGTGATACCGAGGACCGAGGACCGAGGAAATGAAAATAGTCGACCTGAGAAGGACCCCCGGGAGACACAAGAAGGATCTCTCTCTCTCCTTGCCCCAGCTGACCCATCGCGGACGGGATCCAAACAGCTGGCAGGGGGAAACCACCACGTGCACATTTCATTTGTATACCACCGCATCTTTGTGTATTAAATGCTGTTAACTTTTATAAGCTTGCCTTGACTCTTTTCAGTCTCTCCTGCTCTCGGGGTTCAAGAACCACTAACACTATCTGACCTAGGATTTTCCCCAAACATCTGCCAATGGATTAAGGACTTCCTAACTAACCGCCCCCAGACAGTGAGAATAGGCCCTCACCTCTCCTCCACCCTCACACTCAGCACCGGTTCACCACAAGGCTGTGTGCTGAGCCCCATGCTCTACTCCCTGTACACCTATGACTGTGCCCCCACCCACCCCACCAACACCATCGTCAAGTTCGCGGACGACCCAACTGTGGTTGGACTGATCACAAGAGGAGATGAGTCAGCCTACAGGGATGAAATCCAGAGACTGGCAGTGTGATGTTCAGATAATAACCTTGTTCTGAACTCCATAAAAACAAAATAACTCATTATAGACTTCAGGAAAAACAGCACAACACCAGATCCACTGTACATCAACGGCAACTGTGTGGAAAGGGTTCCCGCCTTCAGGTTCCTCGGCACACACATTGCTGAAGATCTATCCTGGTCTATCAACACCACAACATCTGTGAAAAAGGCCCAGCAGCGACTCCACTTCCTGAAGATCCTCAGGAAAAACAACCTGGAGGAGAAGCTTATGGTGTCTTTCTACCACTGCTCCATAGAGAGTGCTGGCATATTGCCTAACCACGTGGTGTGCCAGCTGCTCAGAAAGGACAGGAAAGCCCTTCGGAGGGTCATCAACACAGCCCAGAAGGTCATCGGCTGCTCACTGCCTTCTCTGGAGGAACTCTTCAGCCAACGTTGCCTCAACAGAGCAGGCAAAATAATTGCACTCTTCACAACCCTGGACACTTCCTGTTTGCTCTTCTGCCCTCCGGTAGATGCTACAGGTCAATTAAATCAAGGACAAACCGACTGAAAAACTGTTTCCAGAGCCATACGAGAACTGAACACCGTCAAATGCTGAACTAGCTCACACACAGTAACAATTTGCAACTGCACTACTTTTGAATAGTTTTATTAATTTATTAACTGATCGACATCAGAGATGCCAAATATCATCCCTGTGTTTTTTATATTGTAAACTGTATTTAAATTATGTGCGGGCATGTATGCATGTTGGTATGGATGTGTGAGCATATGTTTATGTGTGTATATGTTTATATAGATATATATTTGTTCGTATTATGTGGAAATGCACTGCGAGGATTGCTTTTTTAAATTTCGTTGTACCTGGTGCGATGACAATAAAGGAATTCTATTCTATTCTATTCTAAAGTGAGACATTTGACTATTTAAAGAAGTAAGAACACAATCTTTCTCAAATAAATGAAAAGTTTAATTCATACGCTGTATTACTCACCTTTTACCCTCTCAATCACATACTGTCAGGGCTATTGATGCTACAGCAGCACTTGGTCTATTTATTATGACCATAGGCTGTGAAACAGTGAGTATGACCTGTAGCTTCTGGTGGCTAATGCTAGCAGTAGATATAAATATATTGATATTACTGAGTTAGACTTCACAGACTCTAGGAGACAGTGCATTCAGTCAGTTATTTATGGAGCTCTATTTAGTTGTCACTAAAAAAATTATAAACAAGTTACATGTTCTAATGATGTTAGATATTATTCATACAATTCTGAAAAATGTAGCTAACAGTAAATATTATTTAAAAAGAAACAACTTCTAGTCTTGTATAGCAATTTTTATTGAATTTGCTCAAACAAAACAATATGTTAGCTTGTAAGAAAATAATGATTAACATGAGAACAGTATGATACAAAGCAGATGAATAAAAGGTTGGAAATGCCATCCGTAAAACTTGCGATTTATCCCTTCAAATTATTTCCCTCAGCAGGAAGATACTGTTTTCCATCCCAGGCTGACAACAACAATGGAGCAGCTCTCACTGCAGAGGACAGAACACATCTCCACGTTTTCATGACATTTTAAAAGGCATCCCGACCACGCAGGTCACAGGCTTTAGGAAGCAGCCTATTTCCTGGATGAAAACTAATCACACATACGTAAAAAACTAAACACAGAAGATGTTGCTGCAGAGATGTTTTCTTGGTAGGGATCAGAACCGAGATCATTTCATTCTCCCAGCCATGATACAAACAAGGAGGCCAAACTAAAGAAGAATTGCATGTGACCCTAATGAAGTTCCTGGATATTAGTATTATTATAATTATTATGAGTTATCTATATATTTTTGTCATATTAATGCAACTTCGGAACAAGGCACATAGCTTCAAAGAGATCTTCAATTTTTTTTACCTGCCATCACAACCAAAGGACTGAGTATAGTGACAGAAATATTTCTGTTTGTTAGATCCTTGGAGAATTATAGATAATAAGAAAGGCTTGTTTAGAGTGATTATGTGGAGCTGGAGACTGAATCCTTTGGTGAGAAAGCCACATGGCTGGATCCCTCTGAAAAGGGCCTTCGATGCTGGGGAGCCTGACCCTCATTACCCTGTCATTGCTAACATCACCCTATTTGTCAATCATTCGAGCCAATCCAAAGCCAATGAGAAAAACTGGGGGAAATGATTTTTCTTCACGAAGTAAGCCCTTGAAGACAGTACAGACCCTACAGCCAGACACTGATCCAGGGGAGCAGTATGACATCATATAAAGGGGCACTCCGCCCACTGTACACCAAGAAACGCTTAACTGTCAATGGTGCTTTTGCAAGAGACTTTGTCCAGTGTGAAAAATAACCCTGGTGATGTCAGAGTGAAGGCTGCAAGAGTCTCCTGGCCGAGGCCTGAAGACCACACAGTGTTAACACAAGTCTGGTGATCCAAACTGAGAATGTGGACGGAGAGTTGTTTACATGTTGTCAGCCAGGCTGCATCTCATCAAGAATACTATGGAGTTGCATTATGGAGGTGTAGGACTACAATTCAGAATATTTTAGTCTTTGTTGATTCCACTTTTTACAATTATTTTTGTTGTGTCCCAACTAATAGAAGGTTAATATGAAATAAGTGGAAGTGCCCCTTTAAGTCAGAGATCTGTGACATGCTGTGGGTAGAGCATGCACACTGTATTGCATTGTGAGCTCTTAATCTTCTTATGTTACAATCACTATATATGATAACACATAATTCATGTTGTAAATGCATCATTATAACTTGCTAAAGAATCCCCCGATGTAAGCTGGATCTTACTAGTCTCCCAGCCTTCAACATACACCTTTAAGGTTGATTGTACTCTTAGTGAAAGCAAAGTATTTTTTTACGATTTATCATTGGCAGGATTGAGAGAAAACAAGGGGGAAACAAACATGTGATTAGTAAGCACTACAAATAGTAAATGGCAAATTAATGTCATCATATGGACCCCCGTCTTTAAACATCTGGGGTATCCTGCCACCTTTCCAAAGTTAAATGATATTAAAAATGAAGGTATAAAATCATTGAGCTCAATGTGGCTAAAGACGCAGTAACCCTGGATAGAAAATAAACTTGTAAATGAGAATATTGGGATTATTCCTTGATTCTGATTGTTATGTCATGTTAGCTCCACTTTTACAGAATATCTGCGATCAAGTTGACAAGAGTGTGGTCACACAGTAACCTTGGCCTATGGGTGCTCAGAAGGTGTGAAGGCAAAAAATACACAGACATTGAGATTGATGATGTTGTTGGGACGGGGACGGGGACGGGGAACGGGATGGGGACTGGGACTGGGACGGGTGACGGGGAACTGGGAACGGGACGGGAGGCTACACTTAATTGTTTGCAAAAATTGAACTTGTCTCATGTTGGCATTTACGTGGCAGACTTGGGACCCTCCCCTCATAAAGAAAACAACCATACATGCACCAAACAGAGTAAATATGACATTATGACAGTCTTCAAATCAAAATTGACAGGAAAGGAACATGTTGTTCTATCTTGACATGGCAGGTATCAGCCCAGCAGCACTCTGCAGACGCCCCGCCTGTCTCCAGCTGGGGATGATGAGCTACTTCATATGGCCATAGATCTACACTGAAACACACATGGTTGATAGATAATAACTTGTTCTCTCTTTTGTACATATTCAGGTCAAAATACTATCTGAGGAAGACAAGCTTTACAGTCCTGCAGTGGCTGAATCCACCAGAGTCAGTCGCCCCCCCCCCCCCCCCCAAACACACACACACACACACACACACACACACACACACACACACACACACACACACACACACACACACACACACACACACACACACACACACACACACACACACACACACACACACACACACACACACACACACACACACACACACACACAACCTCTATGGCAATATGGAACAAAAGAGGTTTTATTTTCAATCCCCACTTCCTTTCTGTCATTTCTCTTCATAAAACCTTCTGATAGAAAATACCCAGAGTTCTGAGTTGTTACGGTACAGTATCTGTGTTATTAT